GGTGGCTAGATGGAATCACTGAAGCAGTTGGTGTGAGCTTGAGTGGACTCCGGGGGATGGTGGAGGACAGGAAGGCCTGGAGGAATGTTGTCCATGAGGTCACAATGAGTCGGACACGACTTCATGACTAACAGCAACAACAACAAACCAGTTTTCCATTCATGGGAAAAGAACAAAGAGAACTGTTGCTTTCATGCCTTAATAACTAAGGCTTAATATGTTGGCTTCTTAAACTAGTTGACCAATTTTGGAAACAAAATACTGAGTGAGGTGCACCCATAATCTGCTCAAGAAAGGAACTTTTACATCCTTATTTGATTGCAACCATGGTTTAAATAGGCAATATCTGCTTTCCAAAGTCTGCACACAGAGGAAAATAACCTCCTCACTGACCAATGTTCCCTGTAGTAACACATGAGCAGGAATTTTGAGCTGCTTCCTTTCTAATTGTATTCCAGCCAACACAGCTGAGGACTAGGAAAAATGGAATCAATGTGTTTCATTTGGTTATGCTGACATATTTTTCCATCTCTTGCGAGCAACTTGTTATTATATGGGGGATACATGGTTACAATTTGGATCTCGACTAGGGTTCCATTGATCTGCTTCCTCTTCAAAACAGAGATGATATTCACAATTAAAATTACATCATCATCAGGTGCAGAGTAGTCTTGGATCTTTCCAGCATGCTGTATTTTTATTTTAAAGGCCGCCCTTGCTTTGTTAAGTGCTCTGGGAATGGTAAAAGGCTTTGATAAAATGGGAAAGGTGTACAGACATGAAATCAAAGCATTACCTTGCCTCTACCCATGCAGTTCTTTGGGGCAAGCTAATATTCCCCCCTCCCCAACTGTTCACTTAGCTTTTAATATGGCAGTACAAGCTTCCTTCCTATTCCACAAACCTAGACAAAAATGTAAAACTCAAGGGAGGACCTCCTTAATGCAGTGCCTTCCAGAAGTTTTGGACTACATTCCCCATCATTCTTGACTATTAGTCATGTTGGCTGAGGCTGAAAGGAGTGGCAGTCCGAAACAACTGGAGGGTGACACCCTGGGAAAAACTCCTCTGCAGGAAAGAAATGGGGTGGCCAGAGTGATTCTATTTCCCCCACTCGCTTTCTGTGCGATATCATTTGAAGCCTGCTTTCGAAAACAGAAGTTGAACAAATGGATCCTTCTGTCCTCGCTTTCGGTTGTCAGCAGTGCTTCAGTGTGAGATGAAATAAATTGCCAGGCACTTTCCTCTCCTATAATCAGCTCTGCACAGCTGAGCAGTACACCCACAACCCTGAGAGCTGTCTCTGTCAGCGCTAATTCCACATGGAATGGGAAGTCTTTGTTAGTCCCACATATCTAATGTTCTCCACAGAAGTGTGTCTCTCCATGGAGGGGAGGGATGGGGGGTCCTTACTTGTTATCCACAGTGTTTCTTCTCCTCTCACAAGCGATTGCACAATGCATTTTCCACAGGAGAGAAGCTTTTAGGAGGGACTATTACTTATGAGACACTCTTGAAGTTAGATGGTTTCTTTCTCAATCTGCACACCACAACCATTGATGGTGCGCTGGTTGAGGAACATAATACTTCTAAATTGAAATTGGTTTGGAGAAGTCATTGGAACAAACCCACAGCAAGACACTTTTCCCATTTTAAAAGCTACAGATATCCGAAAGCTACAGATATCACAGCAATTCTAGCAAAACCAGGGATTTGCTACAGTTTTGTCTTACACATGAGAGTTTGCAAGGAAAAAACTGAATTTCAAAATATTCATGAGGTAAGAGAAACAAAAACAAGCAAGCAAAACTCCTACATAAATCAAGAAATATTTGGCAAATAAAAACAAAAACAAAAAAAGGAAAACATTTTGTTTGCTTTCAAGCTTTTTAATCAGCCACCACAATTGTTAAGGGAACAACTCAGTGGGATGGCATTCATGTCCCTCAGCTGGCATTTTTCTTGAAGTACAGCCTGAACTCAACTGTGGCCATAGAACTTTCAGTACAGTTTAAGCCATACAGATATTCATCACTGGATTAAAATAAAAGTCTAAAAACCCCTCTAATAAACATTTTGCTTTCCTAAAGAACAATGGTGAAATGGAACTATATAGAGTCCAGATTTTGGGACAGAAGTCCTAAGGCTCATTATTTCTCTTTAAGCATTATGGGTATTTCTTATTTCCAATGATACTGCTTTGCAAATATATCTTCATAGGAAAAATCAAAATATATTATGTATAAAATAGTCAAAACACACACACCCTCCCCTTTGATGGCACACTGACTGCAAAAGAAGGGGACAGCAGAGGATGAGGCGGCTAGATGGAGTCACTGAAGCAGTCAGTGTGAGCTTAGGTGGACTCCGTGGGATGGTGGAGGACAAGAGAGCCTGGAGCACTGTTGACCATGGGGTCGTGATGGGTCAGACACGACTTTGTGACTAAACAACAACTTTCCTGGGCCATGTCCTTCTCCTGCTACATGCAACTGGTTTGGCTCCAGCATGTTTGCTTGGGCTTTCTAACCTGTCATGGTTGTCAATCCTTTGCTTTTTCTAAAGCTGCCTGCCCTTCCCCAACTGGTTAGCATGTTTATCTATGTAGATGCTTGTACAGGTTTATCTATGCAGATGTTTATTCAGCCGCTCCCCACTTTTTTAGAGGTCCAAGTGATTTTGGTGTTATCAGTTTGTTTTTAAGATGGGAATGATGGCTTTGTGGTTTCGGAGAGGGTGGATTTGACCTGGTCCTGAATGGTGCAACACTCCCTCTTAGGGACAAGGTCCGCAGCTTAGGAGTGCTCCTCGACCCGGAGCTTTCTTTGGAAGCTCAGGTGACAGCGGTGGCGAGGAGCGCCTTCCTTCAGCTTCGGCTGATTAATCAGCTGCGCCCCTACCTGGAGTACGACTGCCTGGCGACGGTGACACACGCGCTGGTGACTTCCCGCCTAGACTTCTATAACGCGCTTTACGTGGGGCTTCCCCTGAAGACAGTCTGAACACTTCAATTGGTGCAAAATAGAGCTGCCAGGTAGCTGACGGGGACGGGGCGTTATGCTCACATGACTCCAGTCCTCCGTCAGCTTCACTGGCTTCCCATTGAAGCCCGGGCCCAATTCAAGGTGTTGATTATGACCTATAAAGCCCTAAACGGCTTGGGTCCTGGCTACCTGAACGAGCGCTTACGTCCGTATATGCCCGACCGCCCTTTGAGATCTGCGGGAGAGTCCCTTCTCCGGAAACCCTCCATGAAAGAAATTAGGAGAGTAAGTACTCGGAGGAGGGCTTTCTCTGCGGTGGCGCCCAACCTATGGAATTCACTCCCCAAAGAGGTCCGCCTGGCACCGTCGTTACTGGTTTTTCGGCGCCAGGTAAAGACCTTTTTATTTAAACATCATTTCAATTGTTAAAACATATGATCTGGCCAGGGCAACTTCTTCTTCCTTCTCTTTCTCCTCCTATATTTTTATTTACTTATTTTATACTGATAATTTTAATTTTATATTTGTAACTCAATGTATTTTTTGTATTTTTTATTTAATGGTAATTTATTATGTTCTATTGTATTTCAATGTATTTTATCGTGTTGTAAGCCGCCCCGAGGTTTTGGCAAGGGGCGGCATAGAAATGTTATAATAATAATAATAATAATAATAATAATAATAATAATAATAATAATAATTTGTACAAAGGCCAATGCAACAACCTTCTGTGCAGCTAGCACAGCCAAGGATGATGTTGGCTTCATGATTTTCACAAGGACTAGCCAACTGGTATTGTGTATAGCCAGATTCTACAATTGATTCCTCACAGCCCTGGTCCTATCATTCAGTAGAGAGATCCAGTCATGACAGGAACCTGATTGTGGTGCTTACAGAAAAGTAAAAAATCTATTCAATCTATTGTTGCTGTTTTTATTATTATTATTAACTACCAAAGGAGAGGAAAGGAATTTATGAAATGTCCTGCCTTAGGTAACAAAATAATTATGGCAGCCTTGAGTATTGTGCACTTTGCTTTAGGTGAATGATTTCTGTGGGCTAGTGAGATCATTTGCAGCTCCTGCTCAGGAAGCAAAATATCCCTGGGCTAGCACTCAATCTGGACTTGACTTCTATATTTTTGAGATGTGAATATCTGCCTTAAATTTGGTGACTGTGGATTCACGGCAGGCTCACGCATCAAGAAGTAGGCACCCTCCCACATAACACCTTCTTGCTTATCAGTGTTTCTTGTACATGTCAGTACATACATGTGTTTGCATTGTATGCCACAGTGCACACAATTTGCTTCAGCTTATTGCTGCATTTGCAGTGTGACATGTACACTATGTAAATGAATTTTGTACTGCCTGAACTTTAGGTTTATGATTATATGACAGCTACTGAGTTCTGGCAACATGTATTTTGAATAGGAGGCAGGTATATCTTGGAAATCAGATCTATACTTTAAATGAAAAAGGGCTTCCTAGGAGAGCATGCAAAGTACAATGTCATTAATAAGAGTATCATCATTCTATGTTTTCCTCTGTACAAATATAATTAACTATGCAGGTTTCAAATAAAGCAAACAAACAGATATGCAAGGTGCTCCAGATGAAGGTCTTTTAATGCTACTAATTAAAAGGCAATGTGTACTTATTCTGTCTCTTTCTCTTTTATGGATTTGTTTTCTTTTTCTGGTAGGATAAAAGACAGAAGAAGCCATTGGAAAACATGGAAGAATTACAATTTGAAAACAAATTCTGTCTCAAGCCATGTAAAATTCCTTGTATGCAATAAAACTCCCATCTAGAAACACCCACGATCTTCAATTAAAATCAGCAGTGCTTATTCTCAGGAAAGGCAGATGTTGTCAGTAGAATTTGCCACTTTATTGAGTTTTCTGTCAAACGTTAACATTTTCTTTCCTTGACCAATCTCGAAACTTGGGTGAAAAATACAGCAATTTGTGAGTACAATACTAATTAAATCAACCATAACTAGTTGAGTGTTCCATGCACTTCGGTGTTTAGTCATGCCAGCCACATGACCACGGAGACTGTCTGCAGACAAACGCTGGCTCCCTCAGCTGGGAAACGGAGATGAGCACCGCTCCCTAGATTAAGGCAGGACTGGACTTTGATGTCAGGGGGAAACCTTTACCTTTACCTTAGTTGAGCTTCAGGTCGCTTAATAGCAAAAATAGGTTTTCTCTGGCATAAAAATAATACAAAATAAAAAGCACATTGTGAGAACATATTTCCCTTAAGAGTTGTCTCCCAAAGGCCAGCAAGTTCCAACAACTGTTAATTTTGCCTCACTTCTTGGTGCGATGTTTATATTGTAAGCATGTTATGAGTTATTTTTATCCATCTTTAAAAAATAAAGATAAATAAGGCATTCTATCAGGACTCAAACAGTTGTGGCCAATTTGTATGGTGACAGGGGTGGTGGAAAGAAAGCATTGATGAAGGCCCTGTCAGAAAAAATAAAGAAAAAGAACATATGTCTTTTTAGTTCAAAGACTCCCCCCTTAGGTTAGTGGGATTTTATCTTTCTCTCTCTCTCTTTCTCTTTCAATCTCTCTCTCTTTCAAGAAAGCCTGACATGAGGTTGTTTGTATCTGTTTGGGTTCTGCCAGATGGAAAGGTTTACTCATTAGAGGCAGCTGTTTTAGCAAATTACCTCACTCAGTATAATGACAGAGTTATAACAGACTATTGAAGAAAATCCTTTCATTTCCCAGTGAGATCATGATAAGTATGAACAAGTTCAATGAGATGTTTGATTTACTTTGGAAGGTATTCAGTCAGACACATGGGGTGCAGTTGGAGACAATGAGATATTTCTTTTGTTCTTTCCCCCACCTCTTTCCTCTTTATATATTAGACATTTGGCTTTGCTTTGAAAATTTGCTTCTCTCTCTCTCTCTCTCTCTCTCTCTCTCTCTCTCTCTCTCTCTCTC